TTTTGTTGTGACACTTTTGTTGTGTAGTTCTGTGGGTTTTAGTGAGGTGTCAATGGAAAATTTAACTTGTTTACTTGTGGCTAACTGATGCACATCTCTCTTCACTGCAGGAAACAAACATGATACAGGAAACAGGCATCATTTGATACTGTGAACTGCACAGCACAGCTTCAGTGCAGGGTGTGTCTGTTTGAGACTGAAACACTTTATGTCCTTGGACACTCAGAACCCAACCAGCAGCAGGTGACATGGTGCAAATTGTCAGTTTAATGAAGTGTTTAATCTTGCATAAAATGTGAGAAATGTCCTGTAGTTTCAACATTAATTTTTGCCATTTTTCTCATTTTGTAATGTAATGTAATGTTTTGTAATGGCATAGATTCAACCACAGATCACCTTGCATGAGCCAAATGTTATTTTTTGATATTTAATTTGGTCTTTTCTAAAGTCTTGAATGTAAAACCAAAACAGCAACTTCACTACAGTGTGTTCTACTCTGATGAATAATAGGTTTCATGCTGTGAGAACATGTTTGCTTTGTGGTGAAGTGCATCAGTTTGTAGAAACGGAAAATAAAAGCTCTGTGGTCGTTCACCTTTGTTGCACAAACACCCACGGGTTCATTCTGGTCAACGGTTTGTTCACAACAGAAGTGTTAAGCAGTGGAAAAAAATAACCCTAAGGTGTACACTACTATTACAGTTTCTCCTGTGAAAGTAAGTTGCATGATTCATTCTGCAGACATTGATCCAGCTGCAGTGTATTCAGCTGTGAGAACAGAAGAAGTCAGTCATGGACAATTAGCCATCAGACCAGAGGTACAGCTGCTCACCCAAGCAGTTTACAGTCTTTAATATAAGCTAAACACTTCCTCACTCAAGCTCACACTGTAAAATAAAATTAGGTAAACTTAGTAAGAAAAGTGATAGCTTAATCACACCCAGATTTGAGTTTTGTGAATTTCATGTTGATTCGAGACACATCTAAACTGCTGGCAGTATTTGAAGATGCTGATATGAGTAAACATATTAG